TTGGAATTCCAGAAAAAAATATGTTAAAGTCATTATTAGTGGTCGGTCTTCCAGTTTTAGTCATTATATAGTCATTCTATAGTCATTAACACGGCTATCATTATCATAACTATAGCTATCCATTACTATCATTATCATCTTTCTTATTGTCGTCATTATCTTTGGATTAAGGTTGGAAATGGCTGACGTTCCGGAAAGCAAAACACCCCACATTTTGGGTCTGTAATCAAGCCTGCAAGAGTGGGTGTGGCAGTGATTTGTCGAGCTACTCACACTGTTGCCAAGAAACAGATAAAAATCAAAATGGTTTTGTCTCCATGGTAACAAATGGCCACCTGAATGCCTTCGGTGCTTATTACAGGTGTGTCTGAGTGTCTTTCCTTTGGCTGTCATACTATTCAAACAGTCTGCCAATCAATCAATCAATCAACAATCATTTGTCTTGCACTGTAGATATCGTGCAACGTTTGACGTCATCGACATGCCTCTCGACTGGCCTGTAGAGGTTAACTTCTACGAAGCCAAAGCTTACTGYACTTGGAAAGGATCTGATTACAGATTGTTAACCGAGGCCGAATACCATGCTATTAGGGGACCACAGGTACCTTATTGTGTTATTGAAAAAAAAACGGAAAGAGGTATCTTTATTTTGTCGTAAAATATTACTTTTTTGACTTTTTTTACGATTTTAACACCAACTTCATAATAAATGTCACGTGGTTACTTTTTTTTTTTTGCAGAAACCCGTTTCTATGGGAACAAAGTCTGACCCAATCTACGACAAGAATTTCAAGGCAAACATTAACTTAAAATACGCCTCTTCTACGGTATGTTAGCACAACAAAGCCTATTTAGATAAGTAACTTGCACTTTCAAAGCACAATAAATAGAAATTATGAGCATACGAGGCGACAACAATCAATGAGCATATTGCGCAACATTACAAACTACACTATACATTGATATAGCAATAGCCCTTTTCACCAAAACAATTTGCTCGATGGCGGTTCCAATATCCAAAAACATTCGATTTTGAGCTTGTTTATAACATTGACAATGCCAGGGAAATAATTTTTGATTGTGAAAAAGTCATAATTTTGACATGAGGCCTGCTGAAAGCATGCTTACCCGCTTAAGTCTTAACCGCGATACTGGGTCTATTKCCGCGGGTGATATCGTATAGTTATTGTCATGATCACAGAGGCGGATCCACGCCAGCAGGCCTGGGGGACAGTGCCCCCCATTTGGGCGAAATTCCTGGTTATTTGATTTATTGTTTTCATATTAAATCCTATTTTATATCATAATGAAATTAATCACACATGTATTACTTTTCATACCATTTATGAAATAACGCAACAGCAACAACAATACTTTATTAAGCAATAAAGCTCACAAATGGAAKATTTTCATTGCTCAATACATCAACGGGCGTAGATTCTATGCGTGTGTCCCCCCTGGATCCGCCCATGGGTATAAGACTTGAATCTTTCCTACAGATGTTCCTACTGATAATTTATTYAGTTTAATAGCTGTAAAATCAAGTCGATATATACCCAGATATAAT